AAGTGCATACCTGAAACAAACATAAACAACAATTATCAATTTGATTAAAAAAAATATTACTGTGTGTTATTACCATAGTAAATATCATTTAATTATATAGGTATACGACTTAAATCGTTTAAAATTAAAATAACGATTATTAAACATTTACAGACGTATATCGAATTGTTAATAAAACAATCAAAGTAAATGATTTTATCGAATAGTCATTGATTAAATACATAATAAAAGTATAGCTTCTAGTTACCGTCGCTAATAATAATTTCTAATAATTAGTATACATATTTATATTAAAAAAAAAAGAAAAAAAAAAAAAAAAAAAAAAAAAAAAACCAGCCACTCAGCTGCTACAATATGCGAAAAATGAATACCACTGTCCTTGTCTGATCCAACGAAGTTCACTTGAAACGTAAAAGAAAAAAGACAAATTAGTTGTCCGACTTTTATTATATATTTTTTAATACTTAAAAAAAAAAACTAAATCAGCTAAACGTGTTGCCAGATGCATTTTTTTTATTCCCTATCTAACCATACTGTTCCATGCTGTAACGTAAATATAAATAAATTTTTGAATAAAAATTCAACGGATCTCAAAGTATTCTAAAAAAAAATGTATGCAATTTTCTAAACGTATTTAATGCGATATTATTTAATCAAGAAAATCTATGAAATATTTAATTAAAAAATAAAGAAATTAATAAACCTGAAAGTTATATATATATATATATATTTTTTTTTTTAATAAAATATCCGATTAAAAGTAAATAAAAAATGTGATAGATATTACAAAAGAATAGTTTAATTAATTGAAACATATTAATAATATAATAAGAATGAATATTATACTATTTTTAAACAATATGATTAACGACAATTGTAAATATTTATAATCTATCCTAACTTTCGTATCTTCTTATAGATCGAGACAAATATTTTATGTGTCAGGGAAATAAAATGTATCATCATTTTTAATTATAGTCGTTAAATAAAGACGAAAAAGTAATTTAGTGGTACTAAAGAATAGAGAAAGAATGTCATGAGATCACAAGCCATTTTCAAGTTTCATCATCGAAAATGATATGTCAGCGATAGTTACCCACTTGAGTTACAGTTTGTGGAGGCCTCTTCAGCATATGAGCCTCTTCTAGGTTCGTCTTATAAGCAATAAAAAAGAGCATTCGCTATTAGAATTATTTACTATTAAAAGAAATAAAAATGAAAAAAAATATTATACATTCCGTAAAATATCTCAGTTTCAATATTTAAGATGATCAAAGAATTCGAGGATTTCATTGATCGTATAAACGAATACATTCATTCGAATGCTACAACAGAAATTTATTCTAACTCTTATGAATCTATTATAAGTTAGAATTAATTCTTCGCACATTAAGATTCAATGATTCGATCAGAAGGAAAAAATATATAATATGTATAAAATTTTGACTTTGTTCGCAGATAAACGAATGACTAATTAGTATAGTGCGAAGTATCAATATATTTAAAATTAAATATCCGACACGTTCTAAAATCATTGCAAATTTAATAAGTATTATTTTCTCAAAGATTTTTTAATCGTCTAATAGAGATCTAATTAGAAGATTATAGATTGGCTACGAGATGAATTAAATAAATACCATTGCAAAATATATTTAAGTCTCGTAAATATTCCGTTTAAATCCGGTGGCATACGTCTTACCCGATTCCTATCTGGTTAAAATTAAATACACATTCATGCAGAAGTATGCTACATGTCTATCTACATTTATATTTAAAAAACAACAATTCCAACATATACACTTCACTGTTCTCTCACATAACGCTGCTACGCAAAAGTCTAAAATAGAGAATATGCCCCGGGGCGTCTCCAACAATCTAGCTCAAATGCATCTAATTCTTTACTATTTAGAAGTACGTATCAATTGCTCTAATCGACTTTAATGGCTAATGATTATTGCGTAGATGAATAAAAGAAAATATACCAATATATACTAGTACGATATATATATATATATATATATATATATATATATATATATATATATATATATATATACAAATACTAGTAATGTGAGAGTATTTTAAAAGATTCACTAAATATGTTAGATCTATTAGACAAAACGATAGTAAAAATATATTATGTGTAATAAGGTATGTAATAATTCAGAAATTATCGCGAAACAATGCGTATTCTACAACCTAAAACGCACACACAGGTGCAATGTACAACGTGCATAATCACTAATGCAATGACAGCCGCCAATAAGGGAAGCTTAAAACTAAATCCATAGTAATAGTTTCTTATCCAAACGAGAAACACCTGGGCACACGCATAGATGGGAACGCAAGAAGTATATAGTAAAGGGTGTGGGAAGTGGGAGTATGGGCGGTGGAAGGAGATGGAAATTAATTCATTAGAAGCTGAAAATCCTGATCTAAAAATTGATTAACTTAGTCTAAGGCCTACGTACTATGACTCTACTAATCTCATTGTTTATTCAGTAATAATTCTACTTGACATTTTTCTTTCAAAAACAAACATCCTGTTGAAACATTCTCTCTATCATCAAAATTAATTAAATATTTGAATTATTTCTCATGCAAGAATAATCAAAAAATCTCGGGTGGCCTCTTTCTACAAGTATTCCCTTTAATTAATTAAAATTATACTTCCTCGTTTATAGTCCAAGATTTACACGTTCCCGTATTTCTTCTTGTCTATTTTCTCTATATATTAATAAAAGGTTCGAGTTTTCATGTTAATTCAGAACTACATTACAAAATATATTAATCATCCGACATTAAAGCTAATATATACAATTTACATATATGATTAAGTAATATGAATTATTAATATTATTAAATTAGGAAGAACAAAAAGATGCTATTCTAAGAGCTAAGAAATAGTAACATACAGAATAAATATAAAATGGAAAACATATAGACAGACAAATGTACCATACGAGAATATATTTATAAGAGAAATTACTGACAATTGTGCTCGTTAATATTTCATTTCAAAAATTACAACCAGCAATCCCGTGTCGATTTGGACCTTTTGTCCACGACACGTAGGTACCAGAGGAACTTTAATTTCTTCACTCACTACTTGTGAAGTTCTGCGATGGCTCCAAAACACTCCTCCTCCGTTGTAGGTTGTAATTGAGGTAAGACGATTTCAAACTTGGTTGAAATCATTGTAGACTTGTAATGATGTCTTGAAAAAAGACTAAATACAAAAATATTATTAGAATTATTGTAAGAAAAAGATTGTCTAGTTATTTACTATGAAATACGTAAATATATTTACCGATAGTCTCGTGTAGAAAAATGTATTATCATAATCGATGATACACTGACTCAAATACACGATAAATATTTATTAATTACGAGACGACACTGAATTTAATTCGCGAAATATTATTTTTCATTTACAATACTCAGTCTGTATAATTGTTAAAAAAAAGAAAATTAAACTTTGGACGAATAAACACTGATTTTTTGATTGCTTTGTACGCAGTCTATATTAATATACATATTTCTAAAACTTGACAAAAATCACGAGACGTGTAAAAATTATTCTTAACGAACGACACCGACTCTAATACACTACTTTTCTCATTTGAAAAACTCAATTGTTTTATTGCTTCGCGCATGATTGCAATGATATTATGTAAAAAGAGAAAGAACAAAATAATTATTATTTCTATTGAGAATTACAAATCGTAAAATCATTTGATATATTTAAAAATTAACTTACTTGAGTTTTTGCTGATTCTACGACGATTCGTAAGTTCGAGAATGATGTGAGATGAATAAGAAAAATACATCATTTCTTTCTTCTAAAACTCTACCCGAACGTAAAATATCTTAAGATCTGAAAATTGTTTCAACATTAATAGTATGATATATAACGTGTGGATGAGTAGGTGTTTACATGTGTATGTAACAAAAAAGAAAAAAAAAACAAAGCCAATGTATATGTACGTGTTCATGTAGATACATATATAGCATACTACATATCATGATCCTAAGTAATTAACTATGAAATATTAACGTCAGCAGCTTAAAAGCTAAAGAAAAGATATTGATATTACAAAAATACAATTGGAAATGTCGAGAAAGAAAAGCAAATTGGAAACTTCCCTTACTTATCTGGGATAAAAATGTTCTTTTCTTTTATAGCTTTTGAACGGGACGTTGTACCAATTTGCGAATATTCAAACATAGAAAACAAGTGTTTTCCTATCGATTGGTTTATAGGTTATATTTACATATATATATATATATATATATATATATATATATCAATTTTATATATATCGATTTAATATATTGTATATGTACGTATATCAAATTTAATATGTAGCATATATGTACGTATATGCACACGCATACGTATGCATAGGCTCTCTCTTTCCCATATTGACATAGAAGAACACATTCAAACATTGGCTATATATTCTATCATTAATATTTGAACAATTTTCAGATAGCAAAATATTATACGGCCAAGTCGAATTGAAGAGAAAAATACTTAGTACTTCCTTTATATAATCCATCACTATACTGATCGTTCATTCTTTTTCATCTTGCATCATTCAGAAGCTGACTCTAATCGTGACAGGATCAACGACGACTGAAGTAAGTCAATTATCGAACCGAAGCTTGGAAATACATTTTTATCGACGTCATTTTATCGATAACATTTATCGATCGTACGATTATAAATAAATACAATCCATACGATTTTTAACCCTACATTTTTTTCTTCCATTTTTAGCTTTGATTTAACAGACATTCTATTTCTAGCATTCATTTTATTCGTTTCAACTCAAATATTAATGATTACGATAGCTTGAATATCGAAATATCGTATATTTAACATTTTTACATTTTTCCAATAATAGGTCGAAATATTTCTTATTATCTGTTCAGCCATATCGAAAACAAATGTTGCGCATGCGCTTATGAATCTTTTTAACATAAAGAACGTCCATATTGAAATCGTTCAAATTGACAGGTTGATCGGAATCATCGGCGTTCTCATAATTAAAGGTACTTAACATATTATTTTTAACGTACAGTATCCTCCTATATACCGATCGATATGAAATAACGCGTTTTACATATGTGAGTATTAGCAAATCGGTGCATCGTCCCGTTCAAAAGCTATAAAAGAAAAGAAAATTTTTATCCCAGAGAGGTAAGGGGAAGTCTCCAATCTGCTTTTCTTTCTCGATATTTCCGATCGTAATTTTCCTGATATCCATACTTTTTCTTCGGCTTTTAAGCTGCTGGCGTTAATATTTCATAGTCATTTACTCAAGATCATGATATGTAGTATGCTATATATGTATCTACATAAACACGTACATATTCATAGGCTTTGTTTATTTTTTTTGTTGCATACACATGTAAACACCTACTCATCCACACGTTATATATCATACTATTAATGTTGAAACAATTTTCAGATCTTAAGATATTTTACGTTCTGGTAGAGTTTTAGAAGAAAGAAATGATGTATTTTTCTTATTCATCCCACATCATTCTCGAACTTACGAATCGTCGTAGAATCAGCAAAAACTCAAGTAAGTTAATTTTTAAATATATCAAATGATTTTACGATTTGTAATTCTCAATAGAAATAATAATTATTTTGTTTTTTCTCTTTTTACAGAATATCATTGCAATCATACGCAAAGCAATAAAACAATTGAGTTTTTCAAATGAGAAACGTAGTGTATTAGAGTCGGTGTCGTTCGTTAAGAATAATTTTTACGCGTCTTATGATTTTTGTAAAGTTTTAGAAATATGTATATTAATATAGACTGCGTACAAAGCAATCAAAAAATCAGTGTTTATTCGTCCAAAGTTTAATTTTCTTTTTTTTAACAATTACACAGACTGAGTATTGTAAATGAAAAATAATATTTCGCGAATTAAATTCAGTGTCGTCTCGTAATTAATAAATATTTATTGTGTATTTGAGTCAGTGCATCATCGATTATGATAATACATTTTTCTACACGAGACTATCGGTAAATATATTTACGTATTTCATAGTAAATAACTAGACAATCTTTTTCTTACAATAATTCTAATAATATTTTTGTATTTAGTCCTTTTTCAAGTCATCATTACAAGTCTATAATGATTTCAACCAAGTTTGAAATTGTCTTACCTCTATTACAACCTACAAGGGAGGAGGAGTGTTTTGGAGCCATCGCAGAACTTCACAAGTAGTGAGTGAAGAAATTAAAGTTCCTCTGGTACCTACGTGTCGTGGACAAAATGTTCGAATCGACACGGGGTTGCTGGTTGTAATTTTTGAAATAAAATATTACCGAGCACAGTAATTCCTTTTATAGATATATTTTTGAATGGTACATTTCTATTTTTATATGTCTTTCAACGTTTATTTATTATGCATGCTTCTATTTTTTTAACTCAGGACAGGGTCTTCTTGTTCTTCCTCACTTAGTAATATTAATAATTCATATTACTTAATCATATATGTACATTGTATATATTAGCTTTAATATAGGACGATTAATATGTTTTGTAAAGTAGTACTGAATTAACATGAAAACGCGAACCTTTTAATATATAGAGAAAATAGACAAGAAGAAATACGCGACATGTAGATCCTTGGATAACAAACGAGAAAGTATGATTTTAATTAATTAAAGGGAAGAACTTTTAGAAAGAGACCACCCGAGATTTTTTAATTATTCTTGCATGAAAAAATAATTCATAAAACTAATTCATAAATATTTTGTGAATCTTTTAAAATATTCTTATATTACTAGCATGTTTATATATATATATATATAAATATATATATATATATATATATCGTACTAGTATATATTGTTATATTTTCTTTTAGTCATCTACGCAATAATCATTAGCCATTAAAGTCGATTAGAGCAATTGATACGTACTTCTAAATAGTAAAGAATTAGATGCATTTGAGCTAGATTGTTGGAGACGCCCCGGGGCATATTCTCTATTTTAGACTTTTGCGTAGCAGCGTTATGTGAGAGAATAGTGAAGTGTATATGTTGGAATTGTTGTTTTTTAAATATAAATGTAGATAGACATGTAGCATACTTCTGCATGAATGTGTATTTAATTTTAACCAGATAGGAATCTAGTAAGACGTATGCCACCGGATTTAAACGGAATATTTACGAGACTTAAATATATTTTGCAATGGTATTTATTTAATTTATCTCGTAGCCAATCTATAATCTTCTAATTAGATCTCTATTAGACGATTAAAAAATCTTTGAGAAAATAATACTTATTAAATTTGCAATGATTTTAGAACGTGTCGGATATTTAATTTTAAATATATTGATACTTCGCACTATACTAATTAGTCATTCGTTTATCTGCGAACAAAGTCAAAATTTTATACATATTATATATTTTTTCCTTCTGATCGAATCATTGAATCTTAACGAAGATGTTAAATGATTTTATCACGTTGACATTTACGGTACGTGTCGAAGTAATCTATAAGATGCATTAAACCTTCAGTAATTAGAGTGAGAAAAGTTTATAACTGCATTTAAAAATTTGTTCTTCTATTAATGTAAAATCATTAATTAATTATCTACAGTATATAAATATATCTCTTGAATGTAAAAAAATTTTAATATATTTATTTATTTTTTTTTTTTCTTGGTTAATTATGTTGGTTCTCTAATTAATTCATCTCATATATTCATTTGTCATTTTAACGCGTAAAAATAATCACGTATTTTTATTATTATTGAAATAAGATGTTGGATTAACAAATTTTTATTTATTTTTCTCGTTGTTCTATATTATAATAGTAAAGTAACGAAAATAAAATATTGTTTATTAATAAAGGAAATATAAAATAGAAAATAAATAAATAAATGATTAGATAATAGAGTGCATCTCTACTGTACGGTGAATGAACTGTGGATTGTTTCATTGGTGCATGTTGCATTTTTATCCGCTTGCACGTTTTGCTTGTTTATTCATTGTAACATAATATAATAATATTACATTATTAATACAATTTTCCTTGTTTTATATGATCATCGAGTGACATACTATCACGACCGATTACAATCATTTTTTTTTTTCTTTTTTTTTTTTTCTATTTTTTTTTTTTTTTTTTTTTTTTTTTCAAATTTCCAATATGAATTTATATTTATCTCTTGAATGATTTAATACTATATATATAGTATTAAATGATTTGTAGATTTTTGTATGTAGATACTGGTACTGATTTAGTTTAGAATCATATTTGTTTATATCGATATTAAAATTGCATTCCATAGTTGACGGAGATATATACGAAAAAAAAAAAAAAAAAAAAAAGAAAATAATTTGTTTTAGTGTACTTCTTGAATGTACCATCTTATTTAAAGGGTTGCTTACGTTCACGAGCTACTCGAATAACAAAAACTGCCAACAGACAGATGAACGAACAGAAACGAACGAACGCACGGAATAGTAAAGACCGAGAGTCTCAACGTTCTCGACCCCAAGAACGTGCTCACCGCTAGAAATATCATGAAAGAATCTCTCTCTCTCTCTCTCTTTCTCTCTCTCTCTTTCTCTCTCTCTCTCTCTCTCTCTCTCTCTTCCTCTTTCTTCTTCTTTTTTCTCCACTTTCTTTTCTTTTCTTTTCTTTTTTTTTTTTTTTTTTACATTATAACAATATCTTCTTATAGTGGAAGAAAGCAAAAAGTTCGAAAGGGGAAGTTATAATGAAATGAAGTTTATGCGGAAATAAATAGGTACGGACAGTAACTACGGATTACGCACAGTCCATCTCAATTTGCCAAGAACTTTATTACAACGTACAATACGAGGTAAAAACTTACCTTCGTATTAAACCTCGTTGGACATACTGTACCTTGTTGTCCCTTAACGACTTTGAGAAAAATTAATTAATATACTTCGTTTAATATTTTTGGAGACATATATATACATATATATATATATATATAATTTTATAATTATGTATTATAAATATAATATTAATATGTATATTATAAAAATGTATATATGCATATAATTTTATATATATATATATATATATATATATATATATATATATTATATATAAATTGTATATATTATGTAAATATATATATATATATTCTTTTAATAGGATAAATTATTAATATACTTATTAATAATTAATATACTTATAAATTCTTTTAATAGGAAATTATTAATAGAAAGTCAAAATATAAATATTTTAGATTTTTTAAATCAAAATTGATTAGGAAATAAAAATAAAGGAATTAATAGTCTTAGTCAATTAAAAGAATAATTAATAGAGGTATATGGGTCAAAAATAGAGAATAGATTTGATATCATTAAGTTAGATTAAGGTTTTTCATTTTATTTGATGAGAAGGTAAAGAAGTTGAAATTTTTAAAGGGTTAATATTATTTAAGAAAAAATAATTTATTTTAATAATAATTAAAATTGTGATAGTAATAGTAGAAATATAAAGAATAGATCATTTTAATGGACTTAATTGTGGAATAAAAAGATATTAATTTGATTAATAATTTTTAAATGACATTTAAATGTTATAGATTAACTAATCTTTTTAAATTTAATATATATATACATATAGATATATATGTATATATATATTAAATATATATATATATATATATATATTTATGTTCAAGTAAATTGAATAAGAAAGCGTAATACCTCGAAAGGTTTCTCGCGAGATCCTTAAATGTTCTATATTGAAAGGAAATATAAAGAGCAAGATGAAGAAGAAGAAGAAGAGGAAGAAGAAGAAGAAGAAGAAGAAGAAGGAGTTTAAGAAAGATGGAAGGAAAGAGAAAGAGATCTTAGCGGCACTTCTCCGCTTCGAAGATTATTGCGTTTGCGGAAGAGCTTTTGGTCGACGTAGGAGACACTCTCTGGCTCCTTTCAAAATGTAAAGATGGTCAAGTGTGATTCTTCTTCTTTAGATCGAAGCGCAATAAGCGCAGCTGCGTTCGTGGCGCGAGAAACGAGGTCGTCGATATGCGCCGTCCTCCTCATGTAACCAGATTCCTCGAGTTCGGTGCACGTTTTCAATATCTTCGGTTGGTACGTCGTACGAAGTAATTCGACACCGTCGTCACCAGACCAAGCCCGTTGGCATGGCGATAGGTATCGATATTTTCTCTTAGTATAGGTATTTTCGTAATATGAACGAATGATACTCACGCAAACTCTTGCAAAAGCTCGTGACTTTTGTCATTTTCTTTTTCCTTCTTCTTTTCTTTTTTTCCCCTTGCCACAGCCCCTCCTCCCGTTATCCTCCCCCCGCCTCACCTACATCACCGTATACTTTTATATAGTTTAAATAAATAAGCAGTTACTTTAAACGAGCAATGACATAAACCTCTTTTTCTTCTCTCTCTCTCTCTCTCTCTCTCTCTCTCTCTCTCTCTTTTTCCTTTTCCTTTTTTATTTTTTCCTTTTTCCCCTCCTTCCTCCCTCGTTAAACGCTTTAAACCTCCAACTGAGTTCGATCGAAATTGAAAAAGAGATCGATCGATCGATCGATCGATCGATAGGGTAAATCGAATAAAGAAAAAAATCAAAAACCTTTCGACATATTCCATTCACATGTGAATAATCGGATGTAGTCCTCTAAAGCCCGCAATTTTTCGATATACATATACCGTAAATTTTGCAGAAGCTCAATGGACCATTCAATGCGATGGTATTTTGAAAAGAATTCCTATCGGTATTTGACTTCCCATATGAGAAAAGAAAAATATAAATGCGTTAATGTTCTCGTGAGCGACGTTATGCCATTTTATATGGATACGGGATACGGTCCTCCTTTGAGCTAGATATTATGGGCTCTCGCATTATTATGGATACCGTCAATATCCATAGAATCTTTCATATATGACCTAGAAATTTAAATTCACGAGCCTTCTTCCCGTTGGTGTTGCCAACTTCAAAGAGATAGAAGAACGACGTAAAGGAACGAACGGCGTTGTTCAAAGTATTCATAATTAAAGTAAATTCATAATTTCTCGTCATAACTCTCGGCTTTAGTAGTTTCACATCACGTTTTGAATTAGTTCCACTGTTACGTCTACCTTTTCTCTTTCTTCCTGTTCTTACCTTGCGTCTTTCCTTATTTTAATCGCGATAATGGCGGCTCTCCTTCCGCTCTGAATATCTTATGGAAAATCTCATCGTTCCTACTACCGACAAAACT